AGGACAATGATATAAAACCTTCAGTCTCTGAGCTGAAACACTTGTCAGACTTTGGGCTAACAACTAAGGACATGGACAATGACTGGAAGTCATTGTCATTGGATGAAAATATGAACAAACCCTATAGTTCCTCTATGTTTACTGAACATTTTTTTCATCCCTTTGTTCAAAACGACTCAATCAAATCAGATATAGAGTCTCCAAGCTTCCCAAATGAAGGCTCACAAAGGGAAGTCGAGCCAGGATTAAAGTTTAGCTGTGAAGACTGTGGTAAATTATTGACAGGAAAAAGCAGTTTAAACAGACACAAGAAACTCCACACTGGACAGAAACCCTACACCTGTGATGTATGTGGGAAAACATTTAGCACAAAGACAAAGTTAAATACACATATGAAAATACACACAGGACATAAACCTTATATCTGTGATCTATGTGGACAAAGTTTTAGTGTGAATGGACATTTAACCAGACACATGAAAATCCATTTAGCAGAAAAACCTTTTTCTTGTGAGCTATGTGCAAAAGGATTTTGTGAAAAATCGTCTTTGAAAATACACATGATAAGCCATTCTGGACAGAAACCTTTCTGTTGTGATCTGTGTGGACAACGATTTGGCTTAAAAAACAGTTTAACCAGGCACATAAAAATCCACACAGGACAAAAACCATTTTGTTGCAATTTATGTGGACAAAGTTTTAGTCGAAAAACACTTTTGAACTCGCACTCAAGAATCCACACAGGGCAGAAGCCTTTTTCTTGTGATCTGTGTGGACAAAGATTTAATGAAAAATCAACCTTAACCAAACATATGATGACCCACACGGGACATAAACCTTTCTGTTGTCTTGACTGTGGGAAAAAATTTAGGCAAAAAGTACATTTAGAGACGCACAGTAGAGTCCACACTGGACAGAGACCTTTCCCATGTGACATATGTGGAAAAAGATTTAGTGAAAAGGGAAATCTAAGTACACACATGAGGATCCACACAGGACATAAACCTTTCTGCTGTGATCTTTGTGGGGCAAGATTTACTGAAAGCACAAGCTTGAAGAAACACACGAAAACCCACAGAGGAAGGAAAATGGCTAAGCTATGAATACACAATAAGGCCACTTTAAGAAAAAATCTTGTAAAGTTTCCCATCAAAAAAGATGTAAAATACATTAAATCATGAGGTATTTACACCCCAAGGTTCCAGAGGTTATTAAGTCTTACTTATAGTCATGTGTTGATTCCCTGTGTTGTCTTTGATTTGCACTGTTCTCTTACAAAACAATGATTTTATCATTTTACTGTATTAGCTTAACAAAGTTACCAGATGAAATGGGGTGATCAGAGCTCTATAGTTATAGTGACTTAATATCACAATGTTTTTGGTTTTGTTTTTATCACTGCTACTTACGTTATCAAGGCGTTACTTTAAAAAATGAAATTGTCTAGAGAGCTGTTCTAAACAAAATTTATTTTTGTTTAAACTTGTGTTTACAAAATGACAAAATAAATCTAAAAAGAAATGCATGTTTATTGCAAATTAGTAAAAATAAAGATTGTTGCTGAACCTGGCTGTGATTAGTGAATATCTGAAGAAGAAATTTATATAATCTGTCAACTTTATTTGGACTAAATTATTTTAGATAATCTTCAAGAAGAAATCCGAAACGGGGAAAGTTAAGGATCTCCAACTATGAGATCCATAGACAGTATGTTTGGTGGAACGAAAATCTGAATCTTTCACAGGTTTAGTTAGGTTAGTCACAAATTGAACAGCTTAGGCTATATCAGGCTATATCTAGAAGCCCATTTCACAAAGCAGGTTTACTAAAAACTCTTAAGTTGTATAAACCTGAAATCAGGGAAAACTGAGTTTTCTGTTTCACAGAGTTAACTCAATCTGTGATTCTGTTACCATATTAAAATTCACAGATCGCAAAAATGTAATTCTATTCTCCCTATTCTTTGCAGCTGTAGTGCTGATGCTCTTTTTAAACATTTTCTCCAATATTATTTCAACTATGCATTAAAACCTCTAGCTGCTTGCTGTGAAAGAGGCCCTTCCTGTTGTCTGTTGTCATGGTGACTTGCTTCAATGATGATAGCTTCCCATAGTATTTATGCACATGCTGAACTCTGAACCTAATCAGAGTTGATTAAGCTAGCTGACAGCAGCTGGTGAAAATGAAAACTCAGAGCATCCAACCTTAGGCTAGATCAACTCAGGGTTGAGGATTTGAGTCCGAGTTTGTTAAACTTTTTTGTGAAATGGGCTTCAGTCAGAGATGAAAGTAAGCTGGAATGTTCTAGTACTAAGCACCGTTAAAATATTTAATGGTGGTAAGCAGTATCTGGAAGAGCTGCTGCCTGGTATTTTTTTTCCCACCAGTTAAAAACACAGACTTTCTAAAAATATTTTCTTTATGACGATGACATAAATGACAATGACAATACATAGAAAATAAAACATTCTAGATATTCACAAATCCAATTTTGAACATCAAAAATATATTTCAACTAATAGAAATGTCGATATAAACTACTTCTTTTATTAATAGTTAAATTAGAATTCTATACATCTGAATTTTAATGGGGCTCCATTTTAACATAAAATAGGCAGGATGACTAATAACATTTCTATTATTGATTGCACTAAAGCATTCTACCTAGTCACAATTACAATTTTCCTAGTCAAAATTGTAATACAGATATCAACTTTTAAGTAATCTGGAATCACATTTATTCTAGTAAGAACTACATTTTAGATACGTAGAAATAATTACCCATGTTAAGTTTACGTTGTAACATATATTTGCTTGTTCTAATGTGTATTAGAACAATACTACAATAGTATTCTTCCTGTCTAAAATGAACATTTTTGACATCTGAAAGGAAATTTTCACTAATACAATTTATGTCACTTTTCCCCATTCATGTGTGTTGGGCCATTACTTTCAGATATCCAAAATAATATCACTTCTATCTAAAATAAACACTGTGGAAGTCTAAACATAAATTTGTAGAAAAAAATTTTAATGGTCACAATTTTTATTTCTTTTTCTATGCAATCATATTTTCTGCATCCTCAAATTTCATTTTTGATGGGGAAAAAAAAATCGTAATTTGTGATTTCTATATTTATAGCTCTAAGTAGTAGTGCTGTAGTAGTGCTGTAGTTTTAACCAGCAAGAATATTCTTATTTTAGTGATCTGCAGAGGTGTTAAGTAACGAATTACAAATACTTGGAAAAACAGAGTGGACAGCGCTTCTAATAAATATCTAAACGGCCTGCCACGTTCCGTCATCTCCGATATGTCTGACGTCATCACCGCGCATGCTCACAACACGGAAGCGTAGGTTTTCTGTATTTTTGCTTTCTCCACATTATACATTATTAATTCAACTACAGTGAAACATGGTAGTGAAACCAAAAAACGGCAACGCTTATGTACAGAAAAAAACAAAAAACAAAAAAAAACATAAAAGTTCCAACCGGAAGTGAGGTGCGGATCATGCTTCCGGGACAGATCGGATAGTGACAATCAGAGGTTGCTTATATGTTTAATGAAGAACAAAGTAATTTAACTCCATTTCACAAAGAGAGAATAAAAACTGAGCTCTAAATGCTTCGTAAACTTTACATGAAAAATTGAAGAGAAACTAAGAAGAGGGGAAATGTGGAGACAGCAGCTTGACATCTCTGAGATGCAGATGGCATCAATGGGAGAGATTTCTGAAACTAAAGATGAGGACAAAGATCATGAGCTGGAGCACAACAAACTGGAGGCTGGTAGGTTATGCTACAATTCTAAGGTCTGTTTTTTTATCTTGATTAAAGGAAACCCTGTCAGGGTTAGATGAGGACAGGTGCAGCTATAGGTTGGAGGTTTCCAGAGGATTTAACTGAAATAAAGCGGCAAAATGTAGAATGTTTTTATAAAACAGTAAATTTTACTGAGTAACAATAAGTGGTCAATAGTTATATGTAACATGTTTCTCACATTTGTGTGAGTTACATGTTTCTAGGTCATTTTCAAAGAAGCACAGTGAGAAAGGTGAGCTTCAATGACTGGCTGAAACCGTAGCTCACCATATAAAAGTGTGCATGCGCAGGAAAAGATGGATAGCTGTGGACGAGCATGTAGGACAGCCTTATGTAAACAGATCACCAGAATCATTGACAATTAGGAGGATCAATTATTTAGATGATCCTACCAGAAAAAGAACATCCTGGACTATACATTTAAAAAAATGTTACTGAATAAATGTAACTAGTTACTACCCATCTCTGAGTACAATATGTCCATCTTTAATATGCTTGACAAAGCCTCTAAAAAAATAACAGGACATCCATTTATACGGCTTATTAACAAACCTTGCTCACTCTGATGCCAAAATAGGAGCACTCACAGAAAAAGTATATAAGCCCCTCCCATGACAAGCATCTAATAAATGAATTCCACCATATTTTTAATTCAAGTTCTGAAATATAATCAAAGTAGCAAAATATTTCTTTGTTAAGAAGTGATTTGGTCTGGGCTGGAGTCCAAATACTTTCTAATATGCATGATGTCTTTCATTGTTTCCTGCAGATATTCAGCGGGTGGTGATAATTAAAGAGGAGGTTCCTGTAGACTACAGAGGTTCTTCTGACCTGTGTGACCCAAAGTCCTACCACATAAAGGAGGAACAGGAAGACATCTGTGTCAGTCTGGGGGAAGAGCTGCTCCATGGGAAAGAGGAGATTAACGCCATCAGGTTTCCAGTCACTGCTACTCCTTTAAAGAATGTGGATGATCAGAAGTCCCCGTTGCTCTTAGAACTTCATCCAGATCAAATTAAAGGTGCAGAGTTCCTAGTGAAGAAAGAGGAAGGAGAAGAATTACTCAGAATACAAGATCATGGAGATGGGGCCATTTTCTTTAAGACTGAAGACAATGAGAATGAGGGGAAGGGCAATGATATTAGGGAAACCGTATTTAGGCTGAAGCACTTCACAGGCTCTGAACAGAAACCCCCTGAGATAAATGGAGACATCGTCAGCAAGCCTTTAAGCTCCTCTGAGTTTGCTGAAAAATCTGTTCACAGTCACTTTCTTCAGGAAAAAACAGTCAATTCAAAAACTGGGTTTTCAAGCTTTCTGATTAATAAATGTTTTGAAGAGAGTGAAAATCTGGACTCTAAAAGGAAATTACAAGAATCAATGGGTTTTAGCTGTGAAGACTGTGGTAAAACACTTATTGGAAAATGCAGTTTGAACAAACACATGAAAATTCACAATAAGCAGAGAAGTTTCTGTTGTGGTCTGTGTGGAGAAAAATTTAGCCGAAAAGTTATTTTAAAAAGACACATGAGAATCCACAAAGGAAAAAAACTTTTCTGCTGTGATCTGTGTGGACAAAGATTTAACCAAAAAGAAAATTTAAACACACACATGCGAATCCACACCGGACAGAAACTTTTCCACTGTGATCTATGTAGTTGAGGGTTTGGCCAAAAATCCCATTTGAATACACACACGAGAGTCCACACAGGACAAAAACCTTTCTGCTGTGATCTTTGTGGAAAAAGATTTAGCCAAAAGACAACTATAGATAGACACATGGAAATCCACAAAGAACAGAAACCTTTTTGTTGTGATATCTGCGGGTGAAAATTTACTCAAAAATCTAATTTAAACAGACACGCTATAATCCACTCGGGACAAAAACTTTTCTGTTGTGATATCTGTGGGAAGGGTTTTGCTGATCAAACAACTATAAACAAACACATGAGAATCCACACAGGTCAAAAACCTTTCCGTTGTGATCTGTGTGGCCAAAGATTTAGCGAAAAAGGAAATTTAAATAGACACATTAGAATCCACACAGGACAGAAACCTTTCTGCTGTGATCTATGCGGACAAAGATTCACCCGAAATGCGACTTTAAACATACACATGAGAATCCACACAGGACAGAAACCTTTCTGTTGTGATCTGTGTGGGCATAAATTTTGCGATAAGGGAAATTTGAACAGACACATGAAAATCCACACCACAGGAAAAATGGCTAAACTATGAATACACAAACGGCACAGCTGCAGTTTACTGTGAAAGATTTGACCTCAAAAGTTGGTGGTTTAAGGTAAGATAATCTGTAAATCACATATTAGTAACAGGATAATTCAAGGTAATGTATATAAACAAAACAAAAAGTGAGTGATTTCTAATGTGCCATCGCAATCTCCAAAATGACACTAAGAACCAAGAACACCATCATTTCAGTGACTATGGTAAAATATGTTAGAGGGAGTCATTTTTTCAATATGAAGAAATATCAGAACATTATATAAGAAAAAGGAATATTTATCTGTTTCCATATGAACCTGTACCTATATTGGAAGAAATTGGTGACAGGTTCAACTTCCCCACTCCCATGATTATGGTTTGTCTGTATTTTGTAAATATTTAACTGACTGTATTTTATTCCTTCTTTTTTCCAGACTATAGAGCGCA